GAATCTTTATTATTATTTTTAAATGCAAAACAGCTACGGACTGGACATTTAAAATAATAATAATAATAATAATTTTATAAGGTAAATTTAATTTTTAAAAACTAAATTTATAATTTAATTTGAGAAATTTGAATTTTGAAATGAAAAAATGAAAGGCTCAACAAAATGGACCAAACCAAGCCTATCTCTATCACCATTTATGGTGTAATTCTTAATATATATATATATATATATATATCATATGGTATACAATATGGACAAACTATATTTGAAATTATTTGATCCAATTTTTAATACAAGATAATACATTCAATCATATATTTTAATTTTTTTTTTAAAATATTGTATTTTATTGTTACAAGATAAGAAAGAATCATTCTCATTTCTTTTTCTAGAAAGTTGAAAATTAAAAAGAATTAAAAAGAACAATAATAAAAGGATAATTTTAAAAAAAAATTTAATCACGTCTGTCTCACGTTTCAAATTTAAAATTGATGTGATATCCCATATCGGTTGGAGGAGAACGAAATACCCTTTCTAAAAGGTGAAAATCTTTTCATAGCAGACTTGTTTTTGAAGGAAAGTCTGAGAGAGAGAGCCCAAAGATGACAATTTTGACTAGCAGTGGTCTGGGGCATTACAAATGGTATCAGAGCTAGACACTAGACTATATGTCAGCGGTGCAGCGAGGAGGCTGTTTTCCGAAAGGGGGTAGACACGAGGCACAGGGGTAGACACGAGGCAATGTTCCAGTAAGTAGAGTGGATTTAGTGAGGGTCCCACATCGATTAGAGAAAGAAACTAGTGCCAGCCAGGACGCTGGGCCCTGAAGGGGGTGGATTGTGATATCCCACATTAGTTGGGGAGAAGAACGAAACACCCTTGTTAGGGTGTGTGGAAACCTTTCTCTAGCGGACCCATTTTAAAGCCAATATCTGCTAGCAGTGGTCTGGACCGTTACAATTTAGATTCTAACGTTTTCTTTAAGAGCTCATTCAACAAAGAATTGCTTCATGTCAAATACGTTTAACTTTGAATTTCTATGATCGAGTCACCGAAAAACAAGATACTTCTCTTCATATAAGTAGTAATAAATTATTTTAAACATTTTTAACCATCATATCCTTAAAATCGTGTTTATTTAGATATGATCTCTGCTCATTCGTGCATTTTTTTTATTCAGGTGTCACATAATTGAAAGTTGTCATTTATACAATATCCGAGGGATTAACATGAAATTTTATAATTCACATCCCGTCATAAAAGAACAATATTTCTTTCTTTATTTTTTTCCGACTTTATTTCTTAATAGTTCAATATTTCAATAGGTATTATAGACCTAATTGTATAAACTAACTCAAAATCAATTGGCTAAATACTCGTATTTAAGATTGGTTCGAAATATAATTTATTTTTAGGGGGAAATAAAAATGGGTTTATATGGTCAAATATGCAATACTAATAATTATATATATATATTATATATAAATGGTGAAATTTAAAAAATATAAAAAAAAACATTATTTTCATTAAAATAAAAAAGGAAAAGAAATCTTGTTGATTTATATTAAAGAATTAAGTTTGTTGAACAGAAATTATTCCAAAAATAATAAATAGAAATTAATAAAAAAAATATTTAAAATGTAAGGACGGTTTATTTTTATTTATTTAAACTACTATTTCCTATAAACTTGTCAAGAAAAAACAGCAAGGGCATTTCGGTCCAATGGGCATGAATTTCAGAGGCGAAAATCGAAATAGAATATACCTTTTTTGAAAAACGAGGAAAGGGCATTACGGTAATTTCATATCCTCATCGGCTATTAAGACTCCCCTCAATTTCCATTACCATGAGAGGAGGGAGCACGGAGAAGCGACCCTGTTCGTTCATGAATCCTGAAAACAGGGCAACTGAAATTTTTTAGAGAGACAGAGAGAGAGAGAGAAATTTGGATTTCAAGAGCTTGAAGATAACGTAACACAATCTCCATAAAAATTTATTCGTTTCTAACAAGGTTTGCCGTGTTTCTACATAATGTTTTCTCTCTAGTCAAATCTTTTCTTCATTTCTAATCTTCTTTTTCTTCTTCGTCTTGTTCGAACGTGTAAAATTTTGGTTCTCTTGAGTTCTTCTGTTCGATGCTGTTGTTTCTGGTGTTATGTTGATCCAAACATCGATTTCGTAGACGGAGTTTCGTTTTTTCATGAGATTTTGAACGATTTCTTATCTGAATGTTGGTTTTATGGAAGTTAGTATTGTGTTCTTTTGATTTTTCGTGAAGTTAATCGAATTAGCAAGGTTTGTGGTTGGTTTTCATTAGATCTTCGCGGGTTCGATTTTGAGAAGCTCCGGTTGATATTTGAGGCTTTTAACCTAAATCCACGTTAAATTATTGATTGAATTAGAATGCTCTGTTCTTGCCTAATATAACATTCTGTAATTTATTTCTGTAGATTTCACTTGTAGAGGAAATTAGTGTTGTTCTTCGTTCTCATGGGGTCATTATCAGAATCGGAAAGCGATGTAAATAACAGGAAGCCATATGGTATAAGATTTTTAGAGTGGATTAGGAGAAAGCCTCTTTCGTATAAGGCACATCAAGCCACTGTTCTACTTGTGACATTCTTGGCATATGCTAATTACCATGCCTCTCGAAAAACTACGAGCATTATCAAGAGTGCTCTTGATCCGCTATCTCCTGATGGAGGCTCGAAGTTCAACCTATGGAATACGAGTCGATCGAGTACGAGACGATTGAGTACACGGGTCGAGAGAACCAATCTTTGGTCGCTATCTAGTGGTGGTTGGGATCCATTTGATGCAGCAGAAGGGACATCTTTACTAGGTGAGCTTGACTTGGCTTTCTTAGGGGTATATGCTGGGGGAATGTACTTTTCAGGCCAATTGGGAGATAGAACGGATTTGAGGATATTTTTAACTGTGGGAATGTTGGGAACTGGTCTGTTTACTTCGCTGTTTGGAGTAGGATATTGGGCAAACATCCATGTCTTTTGTTACTATTTGATAGTTCAAATGCTTGCTGGTCTGTTCCAATCCACCGGCTGGCCTTCGGTCGTTGCGGTGGTCGGTAACTGGTTTGGAAAGAGCAAGAGAGGACTAATAATGGGTATATGGAATGCTCACACATCTGTTGGCAACATTTCTGGCTCACTGATTGCATCAGCCTTGTTGAGCTATGGTTGGGGTTGGTCATTGGTTGTCCCTGGTCTGATCATTGCGTTATCAGGTTTGGTAGTGTTTCTGTTTCTTCCTGTGAATCCCGAGTCGGTTGGAATCGATAAAGAAGGAGATGGCTTGAGCTCTCTCAAGAAAGTTGGAGAGGGAACTACAGTACCTCTATTGAAATCAGCATCGGAGATCGAGAAGGCGGTCGGTTTTATGGAAGCATGGAGAATTCCTGGTGTTGCACCTTTTGCATTTTGCCTCTTCTTTGCCAAACTGGTGGCTTATACATTCCTTTACTGGCTCCCTTTCTACATTAGCCACACAGGTGAGCTGCATTTCTGTTTGTTGTTTGCTGATATCTTACTCGACGCGTTGCTATGACGAACCTGATTTGTTGTTAATGTTCTTACAGTTATCGATGGGAAATATTTGTCGAGTACCACAGCCGGGAACCTTTCGACATTGTTCGATATGGGAGGAGTAATAGGAGGAATTCTAGCTGGCCATATTTCTGATCGCTTAGGTGCTAGAGCCATAACAGCTGCTAGTTTCATGTACTGTTCCATTCCTGCTCTCTACTGCTATAGAAACTACGGTCACAGCTCCATAACCATGAATGTAGCTCTCATGTTCATCACTGGCATGTTTGTCAATGGCCCATATGCTCTTATAACAACCGCCGTCTCTGCTGATTTGGGAACCCACAGTTCACTCAACGGGAATTCTCGGGCGCTTGCTACTGTGACGGCGATTATCGATGGTACTGGCTCGGTTGGGGCTGCGATTGGACCCTTGTTGACGGGATATTTATCGGCGAAAAGCTGGAGTTTGGTGTTCGTAATGCTGATGATCTCAGCTCTAATAGCAGGGCTGTTTTTGACGAGGCTTGTAATCGCTGAGGTGAACGAAAAGATCGAGGAGTCGAGATCGAGAGGAAGGATTACAACCAGGGGTCCAGTACTTGAAGTGTGAGCATATGCAACGACGACGACAACAACAGCAGCAATCGTAGGTCCCATTGTATTTAGCCCATGTTTAGTTCATAAGAAGGTTTTGAACGCTGCATCAGAACGGTGGTCGTTAGTGAATTTTCCCTTCTTTTTTCGAGGGGTTCGGGGAGACGAAGAGCTCCTCCATAGTGTGATACGTCCAAGGAGAGGATTTTGTCACAACTTCTCCATGATGATGTGTTGAATATGGTGAAAGAAAGTTAGGTCGGTGTAAAATTATTGTACATAATTTGTATTTGTGGTAGGCAGGTCAAAGTTGTTGATCCTCAAAAACCATGTAAAAATGTAAATAGTAATACACTTTCATCCTATGATTTTATTAAACGAAACTCAAAATCTCTTACCCTATTCCCTCTTTCTTTCGAGAGATGGAGAAGGCTTTTCGGTTTTCATCCCACCCCCTATTCCAATCATGGTCACACATCTATTATAATAAAGGTCAACGCTGATACGAACAACGAACCCTCTACAATGGTATGATATTGTCCACTTTAACCATAAGTTCTACCGACTTTGGTTTTGGTTTTACTAAAAGGTCTCATATTGATCGAGATAATGTTCACACACAATTACGATCGTAAATTCACTGACATAGTGTTTACCTGCACATTAGAACCCACCAATTGTGACACATTTTTTGTGTGAACACTATATGCTATGGCAGGGAGGTCATAATCCTATGTGAACACCATTTTCAAAATCATGATGCCACACAATTGAAAAAGTAATACTATAACACAATACACGTGGTGTTTCACAAAATAAAGGTCAAACAAGTAAAATTTTTGTGTACGATATGCAAGTGTACACAATCCAACAACAAGTAATAAGTCTATTATTGTTTTCCACGTACCTTTACACATTGTATAAACTCCCATAAAAATTAAACCTTTCCCTCCAAAGAACCCACATAATAGCATAAGAACAAGCAAACACAAGCTGAGATTCCTTGATCGGGCAAGACTCGTAGCATACACAGAAGAAACAACACCATAGTAATGTAGAAAAATGACACGTTCAAAGAAAAAACACGACCAACAAGAAAACTGTCGGAAGGAACAAGGATTTCTATACATACAACAAAACATAAATCAAGAACACAATTGAAGAAGAATATATGGGATTGACCCAATCGGCTATAAAGATGTAGAGCGTAGTTACCTTCAACGGGAGGAAAGCTTAGAACCCTACTCGGCTAATCCATTGGAAAACATCGACCAACGAATCTAAAAAATAAAATAGCACAAGACAATAAATAGATGAGTGAAGCAACATAGTAAAAAAGAATTAAGAACATAAATGTAAAGAGGAAGAAGAACTTTATTACCAAATCACTTGTGAATGCACATTCCTTTCAACGTCTCGATGCTCCGCTGCATTGTTGCATGAATCTTGTCTTTAGTCTCATCCACAAAGTTGAAATATGCGTATCTCCAATTCCTCTTCAATATCAAAGCTCCAACAACTCCCCAAAATCCGACGGCATAGCCAAGTATTATCATTATGTAAAGCAACCACTTCTCCCATTTATTCTCCTCTTCATCTTGATTCTCGATATTTCTGAATGGCGGCTCAAACGAATTCTCAGTTCTACACTTCTTTGGAAGCGGATCCCCACAAAGATAAGGATTGTCATCAAAACTTGAAGGCTCATTGAATGTGGAAAGATGACCCTCTCGAGGAATCTCTCCAGAGAGATTGTTGTGAGATAGTTTCAAATCGCCTAATGAATTTAATCTTGATATGCTCCTCGGAATTGGCCCAGAGAGTTGATTGAAAGATAAATCAAGTGATTCCAATGATTCGATTTCCCCTATTTCAGCAGGAATTGTCCCGGTTAGATTGTTGTGGGATAAATTCAACCCAATCAACTCTTTAAGCTTTGTTATCTCACTTGGAATAGAACCGACCAAGTAATTTTGAGAGAGATCTATCTTCACCATGACTTCTAGTTGCTCCATGGAGTAATATAAGTCATTTGATTTGATTGACTGACTTATACTTTTCTCTCTATAACTGGAAAAGGCAACATATGCTTGCCCTGTCATTGCATCAAAATTGCGGAGATTTTGTGGGATAGGTCCTTCTAATTGGTTATGTGCAAGATCCAAATTGAATAAGTATGTGAGATTGGAGAGACTTGAAGGAATGGTACCATTGAACAAATTACCACGTAGTATCAGACATCTCAAATATTCAAGATTATTACCCACCCATGTGGGGATGTTTCCAGAGAATTTGTTTCTTTCGAGATCTAAAATTTCCATATCTTTGGAATTCTTTAAGATTCTTGGCATGTATCCCTCAAAACTATTGTTTCCCAAGAACAACATTCGAATACCAGAAAGATTTCCATGTGAATATGGAAATGTCCCGAAAAAATTGTTTGAAGACAAATCCAAAATCGTCAAGTTTGAAGTCAGCAAACAACCTTGAACCATTCCTGAAAACTCATTACTTGAAAGATCGACTTCAGTCAAATTCTTCAACTTGCAAAGTGAAAGTGGTAAAGAATCATTGATAAGATTACCATTGAGATACAAGTATTTCAAATTCGGCATTTGATCTCCAATGCTCGTGGGAATTGGCCCCACAATTTGGTTGTGGGAAAGATCCAAAGCGGTGAGACTTCGGGCTCTCAACCATATAGGAAAATCGCTTGAGATACTTGTATTGGACAACCCCAAAGTAACCAATGCCGTTTGTGTTCGAAGCCATGGAGGGAACTCAGTTCCAAAACAACCCGTACATGAACTTGCATAAAAATACTTTAACTGAAAGGTAGGAATCCAGTTAGATTTCATGTCTAACGAAAGATGCTCATTGTCACCAATCGATAAGGTATTCAACCGAGAGAGATTCGCAAAATGAACTTCTGCAAGTACGCCTTTGAGCAAGTTATGTGATATGTCTAGCACCTCCAAATTTTCAAGTTGTATAAAACATTCCTCCCCCAACTCCTCCAATCTATTCCATTCGAGACTTAATATTCTCAAATTTAATAATCTCCCAAATGAAGTTGGAATTGCTCCGGTTAGAGCATTGTCTGAAAGATCTAAATCTTCAAGTTGGGATAAATTGCCAAGTGAAGCGGGAATTGAACCATAAATGTAACTCCTAGAAAGGGAAAGAGACCTCAAGTTTTTGAATTTTCCTAACCAATCTGGAATTTTAGTTTTCAGAGATGTACCTTTTAGTTTAAGCACTTGTAGATCATACCGACTGCATCCCATAGATTCATTTTCATAACTTCCAAACACATCTCCACCAAAATCAGAGTTAAACGATAAATCAAGTGTTTTTAGGATACAATTGTTTCCAAATATGAAGGATGAAACTTCACCCTCAATGAAAGTGAACTGATTTTCTGAAAGGTCTAGGAATTTCAAGGAAGTCATGTTGTGAAAAGCCTTAGGAATTGGACCATCGAAATTATTAACAGACAAATCTAGATATTGAATTCTAGAAAGAAATGAAGAATTCATGGAACTCAAAGAAAATTGGTTGTTTTGAAGGCCACAACCTCTCAATGTTAAGGATGACAAAAAAGGAAGAGAACTTAGCACTTGCATTAAATTGGAAACTTTGGAAAGATACCAGCTACTATAGGAAAAGAACTGTAAGGAAGAAAGATGAGATATCCATTCAACGTTGCAATTGGGTTGCTTCCATTCATGGGTACTTGTGGAATGAAGGTAAGAATTTAATAAATCAAGAACAACCAATTTAGTAAGATTTCCTAAATTAGGAGGAAGAAGATATTTTGTATCAAAGAATGCATAAGAAAGATTAAGATATGTTAATTCAACCATTGAACCTAAAAAGTGTGGGATTTGAGTATAGTTGAAATAGTTTCCACTTAAATCCAAGTAATTTAAGTGTTTGAGTTCAAGCAAACTAGAGTGAATAGAATTGCTACATAAAGCTGAGTAGTCAAACCGATTGTTTCGAAGATCAATCATAGTAACATGCCCAGTAGTTTGATTACATCCCACACCATACCAATTACAGCAATTTGTTCCTCTCCATGAAACCAAGCGATATGAAGGATCGTCAAAACTATTTTTGAATTGAAGGAGGGCCTCTCGCTCTTTTTGGATGCAGGTTATGGCTGAAACTCGGGAAAAAGAAAAGTGGAGTAGCACCATCATAGATAACACACACAATAAAAATGAAAGTTTCTTCATTTTGAAAAGGATGCAAATGAAGTTTAGAGATGATTCCTTTTTATAGATGAAAAAACATAAATTTTGTTTTTCAATTTTAAGCTGTGAGATTTTTCTTTTTTGTTTTGTTTAATTTCTTTTTTCATTAATTTTTATTGATTTTTTAAATAGATGAATAATATTGATAATTATTATTCCTCACAACATGAAAAATTTGTAATTTTATTTAATATGATCATTCATTGATAGTTGATTTAATAATCAATTATAGAGAAATAGATAACTAATTGTAAATTATTCATTGAATCTATTACTAATATCACTTTCTAATTTATTAATATGGAAAAGTATTAAATGTAATGAGAAAAATCTTCAATTCTTTTGAATCTTCTTCCTATTTAATTTTCAAAATGATAGGACAAGGAAAAAAAATAATTGGATGAAGAAATAAACTGAAAAGTCGCTCCAGAAAATGGAGAAAGAAGACTTCGTGTGGACCTACCAAAAGACTTACTTTTCGGTCAACTCTATTTTTAATTTTTAATCGAAATTATTGGTTAGGATATTGGACCAAAATTGGGATAAAAAACGAAAATGAAGACTCAAACAATGCCTTATCGTTTATCCCAGTTCATCCCCATATTAATTCCGTGTCCCAATTTTGGTCTAACTTTCTAACGAATTTCTAATCTATGGACAAATTCCAAAATGTTTATAAAACATTAAAGGATAATATTGCAACTTTGGAGAGAAATATGAGTAATTTTCATACAAATATGATTTTTTGTATTGTAATTTAGCGTTTCTTTAGGGTCATTGTTGTTTGTTATTCTCATGGATTTAAATATATGTTTATACATCGATATATCAATAAGTTGGAGGTTTCGAGATTAATCGATCACGTTAAAACCTTTATAAATACCCGTAATAACAAATATCAATTATCCTCACTATAAATATAAACACCAATATTAAATGAAATTTACTTTTGAAGGGTTAAAATGAACAAAAGTTAATAATATATGAACCTGGATAGATATTTACTTAGAGTACATGTCTGTTTTAGAAAGAGAAGTTAAATAGATGAGATGACGTGGACAATGATTGAATATGACAAATTTGAAATTGCACCCAAAAAACGCTACAGTCGTTGTTTGAAAATGATCTTTCTACGTGGAAAAATATTTATCATGTCATTTTATGAAGTCGTCTCTTCATGGACTATTCCATGACACATGAACAAGTTGTATCACGATTTTTTCTCTGGAATAAAATTCTAATGTTAAACGAAGGAACGATTTTTTTTTTTAATTTTATTTAATTTAATTTTTATTTATTTATTTTTTTTTTGGTTGGTGTGGAGTTGATTCAAGTTTTTTTTCTTCAGTTTGTTTAAAAAGATGCATGAATCATAGATTGTTATTTAGTCTATTGTGATATTTGGTGGAAAGAGTGTACTTCACGAAGCGATTGTCATACAATGAAAAAAATGTAAATGATTAAGTATACCAACTCGTGTCCATGATTCAGAATTCAAATTCGGCACCTGATAGTTTTGATATTCACTACGACGATAAAAAATCCTTTTATATTAGAAATAATTTTGATCATTTTATATTAGAAATAATTTTGAGCAATGACAAATGATTTTGATCCTTTCACGGTTTTTTAGTAAACCCTATACTACTACGTCTTTAAAAATATTAGTTTAGAAGAATGACGTTGACAATGATAGAATATGACACAGAAATTGCGTAGAGAAAATGCAATCGAAAGCCATAAAAAAAGAAACCACCAAAGACTTAATTTATTTTTCCAAGTCACTTTTCGATAGATAGACTTTAGCGTCTTCCTTGATGTCAGAGTAAAGACTGGTTCATGATACATGGACAAGTTGTCTTTCGAGACGATTAAGTTCTGACCTCACATCGAAGTAATAAAATCAATGAAATCCGAGATCGTTTGGAGGTCGAATGAAGAGTCAAAAATAGAAAGCAAAGAAAGAATTAAGGTTGAAAATTTATTGAAATAGCAATAGAATTGTGGTAGTATAGTATAGTATGATCCTCCCATAGTGTTTTGTTACGCAGGATGGTGGAGGAACCACACATACACATCTTCTTAATAACCATTTTCAAAATTAAAATTAAAACCATTCATTCATTCATTCACATCCACACCATATTTCAATCTCCATTTTTATGAATTTTCTCATTTATATTTGTGGAGATTAGGGTGTGCGAGTCCCTACGAGAATTCGATTCTAATTAGATAGAGGCAAAATTATAATGGTCATGCATCCATTATAGGTCCACGCTCATAGAAACAACAAACTCTCTACAATGGTATGGTATTGTCCACTTTAACCGTAAGTTCTAAATAATTTGCTTTTGGTTTACTGAAAGGTCTCATATCAATCGAGATAATGTTCACACAGAATTATGACCAGGATTCAGTGACACAATGTTTACCTGCACATTAGAACCCACCAGTTGTGACGTATTTTTTGTGTGAACAATGTATGCTATAGCATGGAGGTCATAATTCTGTGTAAACACTATTTTCAAAATCATGATGCCCGACATTTAAAAAGTAATACTATGACACATCACATGTGGTGTTTTACAAAATAAAGGTCAAACAAGTAAATTTTTGTGTAAAATATGCAAGTGTACACAATCCACCACAAGTAATAAGTCTATTATTGTTTTCTACGGTAATTTTACACATTGTTCAACTACCTTAAAATTAATCCTTTACCTCCAAAGAACTCACAAAATAGCATAAGAACAAGCAAACAAAAGCTGAGACTCCTTGATCAAGCAAGACTCAGCATACACATAGAAGAAACAACACCAAAAGTGACACTTCAAAGAAAAAACGACCAACAGGAAAACTGTCGGAAGGGACAAGGATTTCTAGACATACAACAAAAAAAAAATCAAGAATGCAATTGAAGAAGAATATATGGGAATGACCCGATTGACTATAAAGATATAGAGCGTAGTTATCTTCAACGGGAGGAAAGCGTTGAACCCTACCCGACTGATCCATTGGAAAAAATCAACCAACGAATCTAAACAATAAAATAACACAAGACAATAAATAGATGAGTGAAGCAACATAGTAGAAAAGAATTAAGAACATAAATGTAAAGAGGAAGAAAAACAATACAAATGGAATTTTAAAGAACTTTATTACCAACTCACTTGTGAATGCACATTCCTTTCAACGTCTCGATGCTTCGATGCACTCTTGCATGAATCTTGTCTTTAGTCTCATCCACAAAGTTGAAATAAGCGTATCTCCAACTCCTCTTCAATATTAAAACTCCAACAACTCCCCAAAATCCAACCACATATTCAAGTATTATCATTATGTAAAGCAACCACTTCTCCCATTTATCTTCCTCTTCATCTTGATTCTCGATATTTCTGAACGGCGGTTGAAATGAATTCTCAGATGTACATTTCTTTGGAAGTGGATTCCCACAAAGATAAGGATTTTCATCAAAACTTGAAGCATCATTGAATGTGGAGAGATGACCCTCTTGAGGAATCTCTTTAGAGAGATTGTTGTGAGATAATTTCAACATGCCTAATGAACTTAATCTTGATATGCTCCTCGGAATTGGTCCAGAAAGTTGATTGAAAGATAAATCAAATGATTCCAAGGATTCGATTTCCCCTATTTTAGCAGGAATTGTCCCTATTAGATTGTTGTGGGACAAATTCAATCCAATCAACTTTTTAAGCATTGTTATCTCACTTGGAATGGAACCGACCAAGTAGTTTTGAGAGAGATCTATATTCATCATGACTTGTAGTTGCCACATGGAGTAATATAAGTCATTTGATTTGATAGATTGACTTATACTTTTTTCTCTATCATAGTAAAAGAGAAAATATGCATCTCCTGTCATTCCAAGAAAATTTCGAAGATTTTGTGATATAGATCCTTCTAATTGGTTACATGCAAGATCCAAATTGCGTAAGAGAGATTGTAGAGATTTGAAGGAATTGTACCATTGAACAAATTACCTCTTAGTCTTAGAAAAACCAAATCTCCAAGACTATTACCTACCCAGGTAGGGATGTTTCCATAGAATTTATTTCTGCCAAGATTTAAAAAATTTAAATCTCTAGCATTCTTCAAGACACTTGGCATGGATCCCTCAAAGTTGTTTTCCAAGTTCAACATTTGAACACCCGAAATATTTCCATGTGAATATGAAAATTTCCCTGAAAAATTGTTCGAAGACAAATCCAAAAGTATCAAATTTGAAGTCAACAAACAATCTTGCACCATTCCAGAAAACCCATTGTTCGAAATATCTTCTTCACCTTACAAAGTGAGAGCGGTAAAGAATCATTGATAAGATTATCATTGAGATACAAGTTCTCTAAATTGGGCATTTGTGCCCCCAATACTTGTAGGAATTGGCCCCACAATTTGGTTGTAGGAAAGATCCAAAGTGGTGAGATTTTGAGTTCTCAACCACCTTGGAAAAGCACTCGAAATACTTGTATTGGACAACCACAAATTAACTAATACCTTTTGTGTTCGAAGCCATTGAGGAACTCACTTCCAAAACAACCAATACATGAACTTGCATCAAAATGGTTTAATTGAAAAGCAGGAACCCAATTAGATGTCATGTCCAATGAAAGATGCTCATTGTCGGCAATCAATAAAACATTAAACCGAGAGAGATTCGCAAAATGAGGTTCTTCAAGAACGCCCTTGTGAAAGTTATTTGATATGTCTAGCACCTCCAAATTTTCAAGTTGGATAAAACATTCCTCCCCGAACTCCTCCAATCTATTCCGTCCGAGATACAATGTTCTTAAATTTAATAATCTACCAAATGAAGTAGGAATTGCTCCAATTAGAGCATTGTTTGAAAGATCTAAATCTTCAAGGTTGGATAAATTGCCAAGTGAAGTAGAAATTGAACCATAAATGAGGCTTGTAGAAAGGGAAAGAGACTGCAAATTTTTTAATTTTCCTAACCAATCTGGAATTTTGATTTTCATAGATGTATCATGTAAGTTAAGCACTTGCATATCATAATGGTCGCAACTCATAGATTCATTTTTATCACTTCTAAACACATCTCCACCAAAATCAGGGTTGTACGATAAATCAAGTGCTTTTAAAATACAATTGTTTCCAAATATGAAAGATGAAACTCCACCATCTATAGAAGTGAATTCATTTTCTGAAAGGTCTAGGAATTTCAAGAAAGTCAAATTGTGAAAAGGCTTAGGAATTGGACCATGAAAGTTATTAGAAGACAAATCTAGATGTTGAATTCTAGAAAGAAATGAAGAATGGGTGGAAAACAAAGACAATGGGTTGAAAACAAAGACAATGGGTTGTTTCCAAGGCTACAATCTCTCAATATTAGGGATGACAATAAAGGAAGAGAACTTAGCACTTGCATTAAATTGGAAGCCTTTGAAAGATTCGTACCACTCAAGCTAAAGAAGTGCAAGGAAGAAAGGTGAGATATCCATTCAATGTCGCAATTGAGTTGCTTCAATTCAACTCCACTTATGGCATAAGGGTAAGAATTTGATAAATCAAGAACAACCAATTTAGTAAGGTTTCCTATATGATGAGGAAGAGATGATGTATCAAGGAATGCATAAGAAAGATTAAGATATGTTAATTCATCCATTGAACCTAAAAAGTATGGGATTCGAGTACAGTTGAAATCGTTCCCACTTAAATCCAAATAATTTAAATATTTAAGCTCAAGCAAACTAGAGTGAATAGAATTGCTATGTAAAGCTAAGGAGGGGTAGTCAAACCAATTGTTTCGAAGGTCAACCATAGTAACATGTCCAGTAGTTTGATTGCATCCCACACCGAACCAATTACAGCAATTTGTTCCACTCCATGAAGCCAAACGATGAGAAGAATCACTCGAAAAACCTTTTTTGAATTGAAGGAGGGCCTCTCGCTCCTTTTAAATGCAGGTTATGGCTAAAACTCTGGAAAAAGAAAATTGAAATATCACGGTCATGGATAACACACATTAGAAATGAAAGTTTCTTAATTTTGGAAAGAACGTGAATGAAGTGGAGAGATGATTCTCTTTATAAATGAATCTTTACACAAAAGTTCTTTTTCTTTTTGTTTTATTTAATTTTAAAACAATAGGATTCCCGCCCATTAAAACTTTTGACATAAATATATTACTCAACCACCTTGGCATTTAAATTTGGAGAATGATCGAAATATTTATCATGTCATTTTAATGAAATTGTCTCTTCCCGGACTAATTTATGACGTTTCGGCAACTTATCTCGTGATTTTTTCAAAAAAATTTATTTCATTTCTAGTATTAAGTTCATTTTATTGTAGTTTTTTAGATTGTTTTTTTCTCTCGATATTTATAAATTTGAATTATAATAAGGATAAATAATGTTAATAAATTTTTTATTATTATTTTACATTTTTAAATAGATGAGATAACATTAATAATTACTATTAGTGAACCGTGAATGAGTCGTAATTATAAATTAAAAAAAAGTTATAAAAGTCTTTAAAGACTTTAAGAAAAATAGCCCTTTGTGTTCTTCCTTATTTTATTATTCAATAATACTTTAAATAATTTTTGTGTCCTATGTAAAAGATATTGACCAAAAGTTGTCGGAGATAAAATGTTTGGAAGACAACCTTATGTGACCAAAGACTTACTTTTGAGTCAACTATTTTTTATTTTAATTTTTTTACTATATCTCAAATAATAATTTTATTTAATTACAAATAATATCCTATTTTTTAAATAATTTCTTGACTTAGTTCAATTTTTTTTCCATTAATTTTAATACTTCAATAAAGTTGTTTGCCCATTCACACCCTACAATAAACTTTTTATTTTTTTAATTTTGGAATAAATGAATAATATTAATAAATATGAAAGAAAGTGCAATAAAAAAGTGATGGAAGACTTTAGTTATAAAAACTAATAATTATAAAAATTAGATAAATATTTTGTAATTATAATTGAATAAAGCACCAACATTAATTTCTAATTTATTAAAAGTGAAAAAGCATTAATTGTGATAGAGAAAAAAGTCGGGTAGATCATTAGTTGAATGTAAATGAATATCCATAGTCTAAAGAGTCTACTACGATGTTGAGCACATATGAACATAATCAGCAAGCGATTAAGTTCGTTAGGCAAAGATCCCGAGGAAAAGATTTGTTTCAATCAGGTTTGGACTAATTTAAAGTGTTGGTAATGTATTGTTAATTGAGAACCTTTCCTTTACTTACAATAAATTTTGAGATATTTCTTGCAAAAATAAGGAGGGAAAATTATGGACCTTCCTTGGAGTGTGCAAAACTCAAATTGGCTAACTATCGTGGAATATTTTCGAGATGTTAATGAACAAGACGTGCTTCTATTTATCGACAATATCTTTCGTTTCGTTCAAGCAAGATTCGAAATATATGCGTTACTGGGTAGAATTTCAACTTTGGGTTATCAACGGACTCTTAGTACCGAAAAGGCTTCCTTACAAAATTATTGGGTGAAGAAATAGCCCAAAAAAGTATTAGGAAGAAGACATCCCGTAAACCCACTAAAGACTTGCTTTTCGGTCAACTCAATTTTTTATTTTTAATAGAAATTTATTAGGATATTGAATAGAAATTGAGATCTAAAACAAAAATGACTAAGAGGCCTTATCTTTTATTCCAACTCATCCCCATATTTGTTTTTATGTCCTAATTTTCGTCTAACATTCTAACAAATTTATACTTTAAGGACAATTTTTCTAAATGTTCATCAAATGTCAAGAATAATATTATAACTTCTAAGAGAATATCAATAATTATCATATATATAAAAGTTCAAGGATAATTTTTTAATTATAATTTAGCGATCATTATTGTTAGTTATTCTCAAAGATTAAAATATAGGGTTTATACATGGATATATCAATAAATGGGAGGTTTTGACATCAATATTAAAGATTAACAGATCAATCTTTTATAAATACCCATAAAATATAAACAAATGTATCATCTATTTACCTTAATATAAATATAAATACTATGATATCATGCTGATACACTTTTATTATAAAGTGTATGTATACGAAAGTTTGAGCTCCATAAAATAACAAATACTTAAAATTATTAAGAACCATATGTGTAAAGCCTACCTTTACCAATGTAAATGATTAAGAATCATATAGATATCAAACATATATATTTATAAATATCAAACAACTAAGCACTAAAGATGAAAACATGTCAACGGAAAATCAAAAAATAAGGAAAAATAGGAAACTTCAAAACACTCTAAGAGGGAGAAAACTTATATAAAATGATTATATGTCCTATCTAACATGATATGGCAATGAGTACAATGGTTAATCTTATATAATCGTAATCTCTCAACAATCATCGTAGAGGCAGCAATGGTTTCAGACTGAACGAGAAGATTGGCACACGAGCAAGCGTAAAAGAGAATTGTCGAACAATTGACTGAATGAAAAAAAAGCAGAAAACAGTATTAGAGCGGGGATGAAGAAGCATGACTTCAAATCATACCATCAAGAAAAAATTAACCAAAAGAGAATGAATGCATTAATTAATTAGAGAAGTGAAAAATTGATTGTTCATAATAAATTTTAAATAAAATAAGAACTTTGTTACCTATTCATTTGTGAATGCAAATTCTTTTTAACATTTGTATGCTCCGTTTCAACATTTGTATGCTCCCTTGCATTGTTGTGTGAATCTTGTCTTTAGTCTCATCTACAAAGTTGAAGTATGTGTATCTCCAACTTTTCTTCAATATTAAAATTCCAACAACCGCCCAAAATCCAACCACATATCCAAGTATTATCATTATGTAAAGCAATCACTTCTCCCATTTATCCTCCTCTTCATCTTGATTCTCCATATTTGTGGACAGCCGCTCAAATGGATTCTCAATTGTACACTCTTTAGAAGCGGATCTCCACAAAGATTAGGATTGTTATCTGTTAAGGATATTTAGTAATAAATTATAGTTTACCATATATATTATATTTGATATTTTATTATAAGGCAAATATCTAACATTTGCCTTATTACTATAGTATCTTTTCATTTATTGTTATTTCCATTTATTACTATTTCCATATCCTTGTAATTTATTTGATTATAAATAAGATAACTTTCACACCATTTAGGTGTGGTGGATTAAGCAAACATTCACATGGTATCAGAGCCATTTTGGTTTAGCAACCTAGATCCTTTCTTTTCAATGGCTTTTGAAATCTTCTACTGTTCTTCTCCACCACCACTGTTGTCTTTGATGCCGCAGGGGCAGTCGTCATGGCTGTCACATGCAGAGTCGATTGATTATTCTTCGGCTCCACCTTTTTGACCTCCAAATCATCCTTCGCCATACTCTGTACATACAACCTCACCTTTTCCAAACATAGCCTCTTTCAATTTCTTCCCAATTTTTCCCTTCATCATTCATCCTTCGCAAAAACCCTAATCTTAGGATCTTCATCAGCATCCCTCTTCGAAAATATACAGAATCTCAATAAGCCCATCGACCTTCTGCAGAGATTTACCTTTGGAATCTGGGCGCCGCACTGGCATCTTCGCCAACCAAGTTGCCGCCGCCCTTCTCGCCAAAATTGGCTCCTTCGCCCCAATGTGGTGACTCTTCCAGCTGCCCTTCTCGCCAAAATTGGCTCATTCGCCCAATGTGGCGACTCTTCCGGCTTCAACATTGTCTTTGTCCCTTGCTCTAGGTTTCCCCTTCTACTTCTTGGGGTTAGACATATTCTCACCAGAGCCAAGTCAGCATCGTCGCTAAGCGACAATCCCTCTTCATGGGTTAGACATATTCTCACCGAAGCCAAGGCAGCATTGCCGCTGAGCAGCGATCTCTCTGCAGTTTTCGATGGCCAAGAAAGTGTTTCTCTACGCCTCCTCTGAACCAAGTTGTTAACATCTTCGCGAAAAGTGTTTCTCAACCTCTTTGAATTTTTCAGATTCAAGCTTCACGTTCGTTTAAATCCGACGCTTAGCTTGCGGTGGGGTGTTAAGGATATTTAGTAATAAATTATAGTTTACCATATATATTATATTTGATATTTTATTATAAGGCAAATATCTAACATTTGCCTTATTACTATAGTTATCTTTCCATTTATTGTTATTTCCATTTATTACTATTTCCATATCCTTGTAATTTATTTGATTATAAATAAGATAACTTTCACACCATTTAGGTGTGGTGGATTAAGCAAACATTCACATTATCAAAACTTGAAGCCTCATTGAATGTGGAAAGATGACCCTCTCGAGGAATCTCTTCAGAGAGATTGTTGCGAGATAGTTTCAACACGCCTAATGAATTTAATCTTGATATGCTCCTCGGAATTGGTCCGGAAAGTTGATTGAAAGATAAATCAAGTGATTCCAACGATTCAACTTCTCCCATTTCAGCAGGAATTGTCCCTGTTAGATTGTTGTGGGACAAATTCAACCCAAACAACTCTTTAAGCATCCTTATCTCACTTGGAATGAAATCGGCCAAGTAATTTTGGGAGAAATCAATATTCACCATGGATTCTAGTTGCAGCATGGAATAATAGAAGTCATGTGATTTGATAGATTGACTCACACTTTCGCCACTAATATAGGAATATCCATGAGGTGTGTTTCTTGTCATTTCAATAAAATTGTTAAGATTTTGTGGGATACGTCCTTCTAATTGGTTATGTGCGAGATCCAAATTGTGTAAGTAAGCGAGATTGAAGAGACTTGAAGGAATGGTACCGTTGAACAAATTACCTCGTAGTCTTAGAAAAAGCAAGTTTCCAAGATTACTATCCACCCATGTGGGGATGTTTCCAAGAGAATTTGTTTCTTTTAAGATCTAAAAAATTCAAATCTCTAGCATTCTTCAACACACTTGGCATGGATTCCTCAAAGTTGTTTCCCAAGTTCAACATTTGAACACGTGAAAGATTTCCATGTGAATATGGAAATTTTCCTAAAAAATTGTTCGACAAAAAATTCAAAAGTATCAAATTTGAAGTCAATAAACAACCTTGAACTATTCCAGAAAGCCCATTGTTCGAAATATCCACTTTAGACAAATTCTTCAAAATGAGAGTGGTAAAGAATCATTGATAAGATTATCATTAAGATACAACACTTCCAAATTGGGCATTTGATCCCCAATGCTCGTAGGAATTGGACCGTGGGAAAGATTCAAAGTGGTTAGATTTTGAGCTCTCAACCATGTTGGAAAAGCACTTGAGATACTTGTATTGAACAACCACAAAGTAACCCATGCCTTTTGTGTTCGAAGCTATTGAGGGAACTCACTTCCAAAACAATCGATACATGAACTTGCATAAAAATACTTTAACTGAAAGGTAGGAATTCAGTTAGATTTCATGTCTAATGAAAGATGCTCATTGTTGCCAATCAATAAGGAATTCAACCGAGTGAGATTTGCAAAATGAGATTCTTCAAGAACACCTTTGAGCAAGTTATGTGATATGTTTAGCACCTCCAAGTTTTCGAGTTGGATAAAACATTTCTCCCCCAACTCCTCCAATCTATTCCATCTGAGACTTAATTTTCTCAAATTTAATAATCTTCCTAATGTAGTTGGAATTGCTCCGGTTAGAGCGTTGTATGAAAGATCTAAATCTTCAAGGCTCGATAAATTACCAAGTGAAGCAGGAATTGAACCATCAATGGTATTGTTAGACAGGGAAAGAGATTGCAAGTTTTTGAATTTTCCTAACCAATTTGGAATTCTTGTTCCGAGAGATGTTCTCTCTAATTTGAGCACTTGCAGATCATACCGAATGCAGCTCATAGATTCATTTTCATAACTTTCAAACACATCTCCACCAAGATCATAGTTGTACGCTAAATCAAGTGCTTTTAAAATACAATTGTTTCCAAATAGGAAGGATGAAAGTCCATCATCAATGGAAGTGAACTCATTATTTGAAAGGTCTCGCAATTTCAAGGAAGTCATGTTGTGAAAAGCCTTAGGAATTGGACCATCAAAGTTATTCCAAGACAAATCTAGATGTTGAATTCTAGATAGAAACAAAGAATTCATGGAACCCAAACACAATTGGTTGTTTTGAAGCCTACAATCTCTTAATATTAGTGCTGACAATAAAGGAAGAGGACTTAGCACTTGCATTAAATTGGAAGCCTCGGAAAGATCGGTACCACTCAAGCCAAAGAAGTGTAAGAAAGAAAGGTGAGATATCTATTCAACGTCACGATTGAGTTGCTTCAATCCAACTCCACTTATAGAATATTGATGTGATAAATCAAGAACAACCAATTTAGTAAGATTTCGTAAACGATGAGGAAGAGATGTTGTATCAAGGGAGGCATAAGATAGATTAAGATATGTTAATTCAACCATTGAACCAAAAAAGTACGGGATTTGAGTAAAGCCAAAGTCGTTCCCACTTAAATCCAAGTAATTTAAGTGTTTGAGCTCAAACAAACTAGAGTCAATAGGATTGCTATATAAAGCTAAGGAGTCGAAGTCAAACCGATTGTTTCAAAGATCTATCATAGTAACATGTTCGGTAGTTTGATTACAGCCCACACCAAACCAACTACAACAATTTGTTTCACTCCATGAAGCCAAGCGATGAGAAGGATCCTCAAAACTATTTTTGAATTGAAGGAGAGCCTCTCGCTCCTTTTGGATGCACGTTATGGTTGAAATTCGGGAGAAAGAAAATTGGAGCACAAATCATTTTGATTCGTAAAGAATGTGAATTAAGTTTAGAGGTGGTTCTTTTATAAATGAAAACACAAATTTTCTTTTCATGAGATTCTTTTTTTATTTAATTTTAAAACAATATATTGAGGCCCATTTAAAATTTTGATATAAATATATTACTCAACTACCTTCATATTAAAATTTGGAGAATGATGGACAAGAAACCAACTATTATTAGGTTAAGTAATTGCAATGCAACCCACAAGTCCTCTTGTGGATCCATTTTATTATTTGACACTAAAGTCATCTATTGAAAAATAATTTTTCAATTTGAAAAAATATTTATCATCATGTCATTTTAATGAATTCGTTTCTTCGTAGACTAATTCATAACACATGAGCAAGTTGTCTTGCAGTTTTCTCTCGAAAATGAGCAAGTTGTCTCATAATTTTCTCTCGAAAATAAAGTTCTAACAAAAAAAAATCATTTTATCTATATTATTATTGTGATGTCCCACATTTGTTCGAGAGGATAACAAATCACCATTTATAAGGGTGTGAAAACTTTCTCCTGACGCGTTTTAAAAGAAGTTCGAAAGGGAAAGCCCAAAGAGGTAGTTCTTAAATTATTTTTTTATCTTAATATTTATAAATTTGAATTAGAACGAGATAAATAATAATAATAATTTTATTATTATTTTAAATTTTTGAAGATGAACAACATTAATAATTACTATTATCAACATGAAAGACTTAAAAAAAAATAAAAAAATAGACCTTTTTGTGTTCATTTTTATTTTATTATTCAATAAATACTATTAAATAATTTGTGTGGCCTACACAATTATTATGGAGAGAAATAGACCAAAAAGTTGGTGGGAGTTAAATGTTTGAATGATGACCTACATAAGTCTATTTTTTAATTTTAATTTTAGTTTCTAAATATATCTCTCTCTTAAAATATATATTTAAAAAATATTATTATATTCTTTAAAAAAAAATTACAATAAATACACCCTAGTTCCAACAATAGATTAAAAACTCGATTTTCGGTTTTAAAGTTTAATTTTTGAGATTTTATTGAAGACCGAGGAGACTGAATTTCAAGATAAAGGAAAAGAGAAAATTTATTAAAAATATTCCAGAAAATAATAAAAATTTGAAAAAAAATCGGTTAAAAAAGTTTTAGAGCTACTTGAATTTACAGACCCATGCCTTTTATGGACTCGAATATGAATACCCATCGTCTAAAGAGTCTATTACGATATTGAACACATATGAACGTAAATCAGCAAGCGATCAAGTTCGTTAGGCAAAAATTAGGAGGGAAAATTTTGTTTCAATCACGTTTGGACTAATTTAAAGTGTTGGTAATGTATGGTTAATTGAGAACCTTTCATTTACTTGCAATAATTTTCGAGCCTTTCTTAGAGTGTGCAAAACTCAAATTGGCCGGCTAATTATGGCGGAATATTTTCAAGATGTTAACGAATAAGACGTGCTTCTATTTATCGACAATATCTTTCGTTTCGTTCAAGCGGGATTCGAAGTATCCACGTTACTAGGTAGAATACCTTCAACTTTGGGTTATCAACCTATTCTTGGTAGAAGTAAAGGAAAGGTTCATAATTTTTCCAGCCATTTCCGACCCATTATCTTTATTTTAATAAAGTAATAATTAAATTTATCACCGATATCCATTTCTAATTTACTAAAATAGAGAAGTATTAATTGTTACGAGAAAAAAGTCTTCAATTATGTTCCATCGCCTTCATGTTTAATTTTGAGAATTATAGGACAAGAAAAAAAAATTATTAGGGGAAGAAATAGACCCAAAAATATTAGGAAGAAGACCTATCATGGACCCACCAATGACTTGCTTTTAGTCGACTCTACTTTTTATTTTTAGAAATTCGTTAGGATATTGAATCAAAAGTGGGATCTAAAACGAAAATGAACCAGACACGACCTTATTTTTTATAACAGGTCATCCCAATATTTGTTCCATGTTCCAATTTTAGTCTAACATTCTAATAAATTTCTACTCTAAGAACAATTTTTCTAAATGTTCATCAAATTGCTAAGAATAATATAGTAACTTTTGAGAGAATATGAGTAATTTTATATATATGTAAAAGTTCAGGAATATTTTTTTAATTATAATTTAGCGATCATTGTCATTAGTTATTATCAAGGATTAAAATATAGGGTTTATACGTTGATATACATCGATATATCAATAAGTTGAAGGTTTCGACATCAATATTAAAGATGAATCAATCTCTCTTACATCTTTAATAAATACCCATAAAATATAAACAAATATCATCTATTAACCTCAATATAAATATAAATACTAATACTTAAAATTATTAAAAACCATATATGTATCAAACATACATTTACCATTACGATGGACAAACAGTGTTATATATTTAGTGTAAATGACAGAATAATAGAATACACATCTTAATAAAGATAAGATAGTATGTGTTATCAAATTCAAATTTTAGAGAACATAAAGTATAATTTTCCAAACTTTTTAGTATTCATCCGTCCTCAAATGAACACAAACAGCTAAGCACAATGACATAATTAAGATAGTAAGGATTGCATCAATAGAGACAGAAAATGAAAACATGTAAACCACTCCCTAATAGGATGAAAACAAAAAAAAAAAAATAATAAGAAGAAAAAACATAAAACACCAAAGCACTAAAGATGTAGAAAAGTTGTATAAAATGATGATGTGTCCTATCTAACAATGACAATATGAGTACAACTTTTAATCTTATATAATCATAATCTCTTGGCAATCATCGTAGAGACAACAATGATTTTAGAATGAATGAGAAGATTGGCACACGAGCAAGCGTAAAAGAGGATTGTCGAATAATTGGCTGAATGACAAAAAATGCAGAAAGCAATGTTAGAGTGGGGATGAAGACGCATGACTTCAAATCATACTATCAAGAAAAACAATTAACGAAAAGAGAAGAAAAGCAAAAAATTAACTATTTGTAATAAATTTTAAATAAAATAAGAACTTTATTACCTATTCATTTGTAAATGCAGAATTCTTTCAACCGTTCTAAGCTCCACTGGATTGTTGTCTGAATCTTGTCTTTAGTCTCGTATGCAAACTTGAAATACGCATACCTCCAACTCCTCTTGAATATTAAAACTCCAATAACTCCCCAAAATCCAACCACATATCCAAGTATTATCATGATATAAAGCAACCATTTATCCCATTTATCTTCCTCTTCATCTTGATTCTCGATATTTGTGAACGACGGCTCAAATGAATTCTTAGTTGTACATTTCTTTGGGAGTGGATCCCCACAAAGATAAGGATTGTCATCAAAACTTGAAGCCTCATTGAATGTGAAAAGATGACCCTCTTGAGGAATCTCTCCAGAGAGATTGTTGCGAGATAGTTTCAAATCACCTAATGAATTTAATCTTGATATGCTCCTGGGAATTGGCCCGGAAAGTTCATTGAAAGATAAATCAAGTGATTCCAAGGATTCGATTTCTCCTATTTCAGCAGGAATTGTCCCTGTTAGATTGTTGTGGGACAAATTCAATCCAATCAACCCTTTAAGCTTTGTTATCTCACTTGGAATAGAACCGACCAAATAATTTTGAGAGAGATCTATATTCACCATCAATTCTAGTTGCTTCATGGTGTAATCTAATTCATTAGATTTGATGGACTGACTTATACTTTTCTCCCTGTAATCGGAAAAGGCAACATATGCCTCTCTAGAAAAGGAAAAGCCAACATAAACCTTTTCTGTCATTGCAGCAAAATTGCCAAGATTTTGTGGGATAGATCCTTCTAATTGGTTATGTGCAAGATCCAAATTGGTTAAGCCTGTGAGATTGCAGAGACTTGAAGGAATGGTACCATCGAACAAATTACCTCGTAGCATCAGACATTTCAAATCTCCAAGATTATTACCCACCCACCTGGGGATGTTTCCAGAAAATTTATTCATGCCAAGATCTAAAAAATTCAAATCTCTAGCATTTTTCAAGACACTTGGCATAGATCCCTCAAAGTTATTGTTTCTCAAGTTCAACATTTCAACCCTCGAAAGATTCCCATGTGAATATGGAAATGTCCCTGAAAAGTTGTTCGAAGACAAATCCAAATACATCAGGTTTGAAGTCAACCAACAACCTTGAACCATTCCTGAAAACTCATTATTTGAAAGATCCACTTCAGTCAAATTCTTCAACTTGCAAAATGAGAGTGGTAAAGAATCGTTGATAAGATT